CGATGATATGCTCCCGGGAAAATTAGCAAGTGAGATTGCGCCCAGGTATCATCGTAACAGTAGAATGAGTGAGAAGCGGGTTCCAGATTAAAAATTTTAAATTAAAATTTTGTAATTATATGTTCGATTTTTATTGGTTAATTGCCGGGTTCCAGATTATAAATTTTAAAATTAAAATTTTTTAATTTAGAATTTTTTTTTATTTTAAAAATAAATTCCGGGCGGGCGGGTCAAAAAAAATTTTTTATGTTATGAGAAACAAAAAATTAACGTTGTATGGCCTTAGGGTCATTAAGTTCGGATTTTTTAAACGGTTATTTAACCTGTAAATTTATATATGAATTTGTACTAATTTAGGTACATTTATCTACACAACTAATAGATAAAATTGTACCTTATTATTTTTTTTTTAAACTGTAGTTCTAGACTAGCTCTACATGTATCAGAGACAGTTTTTTAATAACCTATGTTAATTATTAATAAAAATTAATCCAAAATTTTATTAAAAGTTATTAAAAAACCGGATCTGTTACAGTGTAGAGCTAGTCTAGAACTACAGTTTTTTTAAAAAAAAACATATACAATTTTGTTTGTTGGTTGTGTAGAAAAATATACCTAAATAAGTACAAATTTATATGTGAAATAACCATTTAAAAAATCTGAAATGAATGATCATTATATATGACACAAACTAAGTTTTGATCAATTAGTTTATTGAACACCCTATTGAATAGTGTTATAAACATAGTTCTACACAGCAAATAAATAAATTTATAAAAAAAAACGTTCATTTTCGTTTGAAGTTACATATCTAACAACTAGTAATACGTATCCGAAATTATGTGTAGCCTAGGCAGGAACTCTATAAAATTGCGAAAAGATTAGAAACAATAAGTCACAATTTTTATTGGATATCGCAATATAACCCATTTTTTATGCATGTAAAGATACACAATAATTTAAGTAGCTAACTATTTTTAGGAGCCAATCACCTTCATGTGCATGAAAATAAACATCCGTATTTTTTACATCATACGAATTCAGAACATTAATATCATTGTGTAAAATTATTGAGATAGTCTAAAACTCGGAGAATATTTTAAGATTTATAGTAGCTATAAATGTCAAAATGACAGTTAAAAAGATATTTAAGAAGTTAAATGTAAGTTTTAATTTTTATATCTTGCGTATTAATTTAAAAATTAAATTGTTGGGTATGTAGTTATTATTATAGGTTAAGCAATAGTATAAATACGGGTGGTAATTATTTAATTACAGCTGTTCTCATAAATTCTGGGACAATGATAAAAATTGCCCGATGATCATTCGGCCGAATTCGATAAGATTTTAACAATGCCAACGTCGCGACCCAAAATTTTCGGAAATCCTTCAAATTTTGTTTCAGAGAGCGTTTTTTTTATGCTTTTGAATTTTTTTGAATATTTTCCAAAATTCCCGAAAATTTTGGGTCGGAAATCATGTGACTGCTACCTCGATTACTGGCGACGCTGGCGTTGCTTAAGATTTTGAATTCGGTGTTATTGACATTGCTCTAATGCCGAAATCCAAAAACTTATCGAATTCGGCCGAAATAATTTTTTATCAGTTGTCCCAGAATTTGAGAATGGATGTTCTATAGAATAGATGGGCAATATAAAAAATAAACTCCACTAATGATTGGTAATCATTAATAAATATTTAGCGGAGTTGCGGAGTTTGCTCACCTATTCTATAGAACATCCATGAGGGAACAGCTGTAATAGTATAGATTAAATGACAACTCGGTAATAACTGAAAAATATTGTAGAATGATTTATTAGAATTTATAATCAGGTTTCGCTTATAAACAATAGTCACATTTTGATCAGCGTAATTTTAGGGTTAGGGTGAAATCTTATGTTAGGGTAGGAGTAGCAATTTTTCAGGGTCCCCGAGCCTAGGTCATTGTGATCACGTGCCAAATAACAATAAAAAACAAGAAATAACAACTAAATTAAAGTAAAAAAAAGGCAGAACAAATTAAGTATACAACGTATATGTCGGAAAAAAAGATTTCTTGTTTTATAATCAACAGCAAATAATAGCGCATCCAAATCCTCCGCGAAGTTTGCGAATATGTTCGGGAATGTTTGGTTCTGAATTTTTTATGTTTGATGGTTCTGAACTTGATATGTTTGATTCATGATATGATTGCGAAACTAATAAGAAGTTAGGCGTCATTTGATTTATTGCTACTGGGTCTTCTATAATTGGTTGAGTATTAGAAATTTGTTCTTCTAATGTAGTTTTTTCTGTTTCTTCTGGCATTTATAGCATTAAGAAAAAAAGACAAAAATAATTTTTTAATTGAGTAAGATTGATATTATTTGAATGCTGCTAAAGGAAAATGAGCTTTCAAATTTATTATTATTTATCGAATTCAGCCCTTTAAAATCTTATAGTAACATATGTAGAACAAAAATCAACAAACACATTGTAAACTCAGTAAGTAGTGACTTATTTTAAGTTTCAACAGTATACACTATTAAGCATATATTACTCTTGGCGTATTATTTTGTGCCAATGGATTGAGATTGAGAAAGTTATTTTCAATGGGCTACGTACCAGTTTATGCACTATCTCTCGCATGGAAGATAAAGTATAAATCATTATATTTCCTAAATCATTAGGACCATTTATTAAAATCGATAATTATTATTCTTGGCGTGCCAATAGATGAGGATTGATAATTTGAGAAAGGTAATTTCAATGTGCTATCAGTTTATGCATTATCTATCGTATGGTATATAAAATATACGTAAATAGTTATATTTCCTAAATCATCATCATTAATAAAGTGTATTTTATTAAAATCGATAATTTAAAAAAATGGGCTGATTTCAATGAGTTGCCTTCCGAAATTAACTCCCATAATTCTAATGTTCTTTTTTTTGTTTAGGTACTGTACGTTTTGTACGTTTGCACTACCAGAACTACACGAAATAAGAAGCGGGCGAAAATATATGGTGCTTTATTTCTATAAGGAGCGATTGCGATTTGCTCCGTATGTACTGTACGCACGTACTGTGCAAGAAATCTAAAAACCACAATAACATCATATAGTGACAAAATAAAAACAATAAAATTAAATACTTACCCATTTTAGGATTTTATAATTTATCGCCATAGCGATGTATCTCCAGTCTATGCGGAGTTTGAAATTTTTGCTTATAAAACATGATTTGTAAGCAAAATTTCAAACTCCACATAGACGGAGTTTCGAATTATGGTTACAAATCATGTTTTGTAAGCAAAATTTCAAACTCCGCATAGACTGGAGATACATCGCTACGGCGATAAATTATAAAACCCCAAATTTTAGGTATTGAAATTGATAATTTATTTTTAATGTGTAACTTGATTATACATGAATCACGCCAAGCAGATAATTATGTAACATATTTCTTAAATTATCGGCTTCAATAAAGTATTTACATACACACTTTATTGATATTACTAATTTAGGATTTCAATGTTTTATTTTGTCTTAATAAGGTATAATTATGGCTTTTAGATTTCTTGCATCGTACAATAACGATAGTTAAGGAAATATGATTTTAGAGTTTATGGTTTTGTCAATCTATCCAAGTTTTTAAAAGTTTAAATTTACGTATTTCTCCTTAAATACCTCTAGGAAAGTGTACTTATTCCTATAAACTTTGCGAAAATGGCATATAATCCATTTGATGACACGATTAACATAATTTTAACCGGGTTACTTCCCTTAATTATATTCGGTCTTTTTAAATTCTTTGAAAAGGCAAAACAAAAAGAACTTTCTTTGATAAATGTATTTGATGATTTTATAATTTTTCCATCAATTATAATATACCCTCTTATTAATGGTTTTCAATGGTTTTCATACTATACCGATGACATACGGAATGCCTTTTTAATTGTTACAATTGTTGGTTTTTCATTTCTCTTAATTTCCTTTATATTATACAAATTCGCATGGCCAAAAATATACAATAGTAAAAAATATAAAGAAAATAAGCAAATATTAAAGATATGCCTTAGGAAAGTTTCGGTTTATTTAATTATTATTATTATTTCTTATCTTTCAAAATATTCATATGACATGATTATTTATGGTGATTACACCGATTTTAATGACAATCAAACTATCCAAATTATTTCTCCAAATAGAAGTTATGTTAGTAAAATTTGCGTTGATGAATTTAGTGTTAGCAGGTGTAATGATTTGAAATTATCAAACGAAATAGTAATTAATGTTTTTTTGTTGCTAAATTTAATTAGTTTTATTGGATGTATTCTTGCCATTCTGATGTTTAAACTTTTAATTAATTCTAAAAATCAACAAACCAATACTTTTATTGTTATTAAGTTTTTATATAATCATATCATTTATAATATTGTCATAAGCAACTTTATGAAGATTTCAAATTGTATTACTATAGTTGTTCTAACAATTTATCCTGCTGTTGTATCAGGATACATACTTAGTACCGACTCTACTACTACAAAAATAGCCTTCTTGATTTGCAGTTTATCCCTCAGTAGATTAATTGATCATTTTGGTGATAATGAACCTAAAAAAGTTATGACAATGATTTCTTTTTATCTACATTGGACTGCAGATATGATAGTAAAAGATAGGATTGAAAATGCAAAAAAACCCTTAGCGGAGTCAAAAGAAAATCTGAAAACATTAGCAGATCAAATACACATAACAGATGAAAAAATCAAAGAAGATATAAATAAGATAAAAGAAATATTGGAAAATCAGGAAAAAGAATTATCAGAAATAATCATCAATTATGAAGAGGGTAAAATAGAAGATAAAGTAAAAAATATCAAGACAATGTTAAAAATTCAAATGGAAGATATGAAAAAGTTGAAAAACCAAATAAGTGAGGAAAATTTGAATCAAGGATTAGACGATGAAATAAAAAGATTAGAAGATACTAATGAAAAACTAGATAAGGTAAAAATATATCCATATCTTTTTAAAAGGACAGAGGACAATAAACATGTGGCATGAGCTAAGTAGTAACGTATTGGCATCACTACACAATTTTATATGATGTGAAGATGACGTAAAGAGGTAGCTACTTTTAACCTTTCAGATATCTGCATCTATAGTTATAGAGGATGCAAAGTGTTTAATCGCATTAAAGATATTTTATTTATTTATTTTTATATCATTCGATTAATTAAATGTTAATTTTTTTTTGTGATAAAATTTAGTGATATCTTTTATTAATAAAATTTTACGAGTTTATTAACTTATACCATTGGGTTGGGGTGTCATACGGACTAATTAATCAAAACTATACCAATTAACTATCTCTTAAACTGTTTATCCTGGCTTGAAATTTTTTACCAATATATCATGATCCAGTGATCAAAATTTAATAAATGATTCTCTCGACAAGACGATTTGAATGGTGCCTAAAATCAAATTTGATCACTAGATCAAAAGATATTCGCAAAAAGCGATTTGCAGCGCAGCTCTACAGAAATGAATTAACCGTAGCTTTCGCTACAACTAAGAGCGACGATCAAAAAATTAGGCCGGAATACTCATAATGAATTTGCAGTTACCTATTACAGCTGTTTTCATTATTCCTGGGACACCTATAAAAATTAGTCGAAAAATTTTTCGGCCGGTAATTTTTTCGGCATAATAAATTCAATAAAAATTGATATAATACTGTAATATATACGTAATTTAAAATCAGGTGGCTAATATAAATAAAAAATTATGCACATTTATTGTTGAATTCAAAAAATATGATTAGGTGTTAGCAGGTCTCCTATAAGTCGGGTTCTTGTGCATTTTCAAAGATATGGTTGTATTGAAAAACTTCCATCACTTTCGGGAAAACCATGTTCTTAAATATGAATGATATAAATTATCTTTAAGTTTTAATGAAAGAAAAACCTGACTGGTACAGTACTTGTATGAATTACAATCTGAGCGGAACTTTGGTTGGGACGTAATATTAGTCTTACAACTTGGATATACGCACAAAAAGGTTAATATTTCAGATATTTATACATATTTTTATTTTATAAACTTTTAGCAAATTTAATTTTATTGATTTCAAAACTCGATAGAAACAATTCATTTTATGAATGTCTCAGTATACACCAAGTCAGTTAGTTTTTTCAGACGAAACTGCTTATGACAGAAGAATATTATCTCGACGCTATTGCTGGAATTTTTCAGGATATATACATTAGTAATTATGGCTTTGTCGTGGGAATTTTATAAATTTCTAATCTTTCTTTGTCAATATGCAGCAAATCATTTCTAAACATCTTATTGTTCTGATCGTTTTAATTGTTCTGATCATTCTTAGCATGCCCACAAATCTTTTTTATCACATTCAGGTTGTATTTTTAAGATTCAATAAGTTAAATTGACCTTTGATTCTATAATTCGATGTTTGCATTGGATAACTCAAAAGTATTTGCCATGGACGATAAAGATTCTAGAGAATCTTTAATTGTTAGTTCTACTGTGAGCTTTGATTGTGTTGATCATAATTTTTAATGCATTTTTGATACATATTAATTAAGTCTTGATTTTTTGGAATTTCGACTTTAGTTGAATTTTTAGTTGAATTTTAGTCCAATTGACGAATTTTTGATCATATCTAACTTTTTTAATATTGGCACCTATTCGTGTAATATATTTACTATAAAAGCTAATTTGATATATGGAGCCTTTTTATATTTCTTGTCAAGTTTTATTGGTTGACAAGAACAATCTTTTTCATAACTTTCGCACAAATTAAACATACTAAACATATTGGGCAAGCATTTAAACGAAATTTTAATAATATTGACATTATAATAATAAATTTATTTATAGAACAGGTATTATATTTATTTATTATAGTAATTTTTGAAATTGGAACAACAATGTAATTTAATTTATGGCGTAGATATTATGTCAATGTTACAGTAAATAAAAATTCAAAAATATATTTTTATATACCGATCATGCCGAAAAAATTACCGGCCGAAAAATTTTTCGGCTAATTTTTTATAGGTGTCCCAGAAATAATGAAAACAGTTGTAAGTGAAATTTGTTCCTGGACAATTTTACCATAATGCGAGCTTATTTTTTAAAACTTTCTATTTTTGTAATGAAAAAATTAAATGTTAATTCCGGCCAGAAATTAATTAACAATTTGTAATGTGGGCCAAAATTTTGAAGATCCTCAGCCATTAGCCAATCAAAATTGAGAATCTGCTGTGCCAATTTTGTAATATGAGCGATTTATTTCCTATGTGATTATTGGCTGATTGGCTAATTTATTTAATTTACTATTAATATGGTCTTCATAAAAATAACATAACTCTTTGTATAAAATATACTATGTTATAAAAGTTTACATTTATACTCAACAAGACCTTAGCTTTCTGTATCCCATTTGGATCTTAAATTCTACAATGTAAAAACACAGGGCCACGTGCAGTATGTGGCAAAGATCCTAAACAAGTACAAGAAAAGTTATTTCATATTTGTACTCAACAAAACTTTACATTTCTGAACCTGAAATTTCTTTTAGGCTCTCAAGTTCTTGCTAATGTGTTTAAAACCTATTGTTGTTAGACAAAACCATGTAATGCTAAATGTCACATATTAATATTTAATAAAAACTAGATTAAATTTTTTAGGTCTTGGTAGTTTATGACAAGTGATGATTATTATCACATAGTTTTGTCTAACAACTATATTAAAACCATTTTGAATATAAAAAGCAATGCTTTAACAGTCATATGACATGTCAGAAATGATCATCATTACATTTGCATACATATAAAAAAAAAATTAATAATATATAAGAAAAATTTATAAAATTTGAAGTTTTTTTGGATTTGTGA